TTAAAAATGATCTACATTTCACCCAATAAAAAATCCTTACATATAGTTTTTTATAAGTGTGCTCAACTATGTTTGTGTTTATACTGATGTGTAACACCCCAACCATCTATGTTGAATATGTGATTCAAACTAATTAAAGGTCTATTTTAAAAAAATATCCAGTGATATATAATAAAAATAATTTACATTATGATAATTAATTTGATTTTTTATAAAAATTAAGAATCGATTTTCACCACTAACCAACTTATCATGAAATTTTCTAGCTGACTGACTCAAAACCCTTTTTTGTCAATGTTATTAATTTCTTTGTGACATAATGTTTATGTTCACTTTGTCTGGTTTTGTTGCAGTATGCCTCATTTTATCCAAGATTATCTTACATTTTTTCCTCTCAAGACATGATGATATAAATTTTCCTTTTTCTAAATTAAAGTTGTTGCATCTTTTTAATGAGAAGAACTTTAATTGTGCTTCTCTCCACCTATCTATCTTCTTCTATTTGTATAATAATTTGTGTATTTGCTTGATATCTTTTTTTATTGTTTTATGTTTCCATTGTATATTCTTTTTTGTATTTGAAGTCCTTCAAACTTACCATTATTAATAATATTATTTAAAATCTTTATGTCTTTATTCCATTCAGTCTGAGAAGGTATTTTGTCATTGTAAATTTTTATATTGTTAATTGACAATCCGTGAATGAATCAGTGAGATGTTGATCATTTTGTTATGAAATTTTGTCACCAATTATTACTAATAAAATAAGAAATTTCCCAAATCTCACTGTCCTCACTAGTTAATTCTCATGTCCATACAAAAAATACAGAAAACAACCTTAGAAATTGTTAAATACTTCTTTAAAACTCTTTTTCAGTTATTTTTTAATTTTACTATAACAACATATAAGTTCATTTGATAGGTTTCATTAAAATAAAATTTTTTTTTGTTGATAAACCGATAAAAAAAAAGTATAATTTTGGTCAGAAAACTTTATAGTGTTGGCTGAAAGTTAAAAAATTCCGAATTTTTATATGTTATTGACTTCTTGAAATCTCAGTGACAAGCATACAAAAGTTTTTGAAGAACATTCCAACCCCAATATTTTGACATATTATTCTATGAGATTTACCTTACACATACGTAAAAAGAGCAAGATTTGTAATACAAAAATATCATGCTTTATTATTTGTTAAACATTGTCAATTGACGATTTTTACCATTTTTGCCCCACCAATCCTACTAATTTTCACTGGTTTATTCATGGATCATCAATTAAAGTAAAAAATTAATTGACGATCTGTCTATGAATGAGTGAGCTTTACATAGGGATCGGTGGAGGAAAAATATCACAAATTTCACCAATTGACGACTTTGTATAAAAAAATGGTACTATACTTTAGTATTATAAAATAATATTAGGTTATGAAACAAATGTCAAAGAACATATTTATGTATTTTTTTTTAAGAATATTGAAAAAAAAAAAGGGTTTGCTTTTGGGGATGTGGAGATGAGTGAGGTTTTTCAATAAAAAAGTTTTTACACTCATGTAACTTATTAAAATAACAACAAAAAAATATATAATTCGAATAAATTATTTACTATAATTAGTCAATTTGAGTATTCAATGGATGAAATAAAACAGATGAACAAATAAAATATAATTAAGATTGAACAAGAAATTGTGTCATGAACAGTGTTCGAAATTCGACTGCGCCTTTACATAAACTAATCTAATTTTAGAAATTATCTGCGGTTAATTTCCATATTT